GAAGAAGAAGAAGAAGAAGAAGAAGAAGAAAAAGAGATCAAAGGGGGTTGAATGATGATCTCAGCGATGGTCGTTTGACGATAGGGGAAAACGAGAAACGGAGAAACTTTCTCCTCGGTTTCTTCAGCTTCAGTTCAAAATGCTGGACATATTTCGAGGCCTGAAGAGCCTTATCAAGATCTCTCACGTACACATTGACACGGCCGTGTTCCGGTTGCATTACAGTTTAACCGTGATCCTGCTCATCTCGTTCTCGTTGATCGTGACCACGAGACAATACGTTGGCAACCCGATCGACTGCATTCACAGCAAAGATCTACCGGAGGACGTGTTGAACACGTACTGTTGGATACACAGTACGTACACGATCACTGCGGCTTACAGGAAACGAGAGGGTTTCGAGGTACCGTTCCTCGGCGTCGACAATTCCAAGTCGCATCCGGAGACAGAGAGGAAGGAGTACAGATACTATCAGTGGGTCTGCTTTATGCTGTTTCTTCAGGTAATCGATCGACAATCCTTTCCTCTTTTCTCTTTCGTACATCTATCTTTTGTCTGTGTGTGTGTGTGTGTGTGTGTGTATGTATACGTGTCTACATTTGCTCTTTTCATTTACACCCCTTTCTCTCTCTCTGAAGTGAGAAATTTTGCTCGCTATCTCGTTCGAAAAAAAAAAAAAAAAAACTCTCGAGTAGAATGTCACGGGATTTGCGAGAAAGATGCTGCGAGCGGAGAGGCGATCGACGGCGAATGAGAAATCCGGATAACGAGCGCGAACTACGGTTGCGGCTACGCTCGAGGAATTTACTCGCTGCTTACAGAAGCTTATATTTAGTTCATTGCCAAGAAAGAAACCCTAAGCATATTAACTCGTTAAACCCCCTAACCGTTGCCTCGTCACCGAGGGTCGCTGTCGCGCGAGTCGCCTTGACGCTCGGTCAAAGACGCTCCTCCACACCCTCGCCTTTTAACTGATCTCTTCAACTGGAACATGTTGTTCGACGGAATTAAACAGCCTTTCCGTTCCGTTCGATATTCCGACGACACGCGATACAAACGACACGCGCGTTCCTTCGAATCAATTTCCAATTTTCAACACGAACGCGATTTTCCCAAATTCAATCAGGCTGCAGCCAGCTTCATTCCCTCTGTTGCATTCCCTTCTCCCAATCCGGGCACTTGAATTTCAAATGTTCTACGGTAAATTAAGTAGACAGTTTTTATCAGTAGTTGTTTGGTGCAAATTGTATTCATATAATATATATATATATATATGTTTTTATATTAAAAAAAAAATTTTTTTCGTGATTTTCATGCCAGATTTTTTGCCTTCTTCCCCATACAGGAACGCAATGATAAAATGCAATAAACATTTTCTAATAAAATTGTATCATTTATTTCACGACCACGCTCATTTGTACATGTATATCAACTCGTCGTAAAAATCAATCTGCAATCAGAGGGGTGAAAAAAAGTCGAAACACGTGAGTAAGCCCAGAAGAGAGGAAATCGCGTTTTGAAATTGT